ATTCCAGAAAGAGAAGCAGGCCACCCTCATATTATTAAAACTGACCAACTTGTACCCCTTTTTGTTGTATTTTTGCTGAGAATCTGAGAAGACTTTCTTTCTTTTTTTTGGAACAAGAAGGGAGTTCTGTTTTAACCCTTAGGGAGGGCAACTCAAATGGTAAAAGAACCAACTGAAACACAGTATTTAGTAACTTACAGGCTGATTACAGCTCTCTATGATTTCGTCACAGGCATGATAACTTGCCTGTTCTCTGTATTTTTAATATGTATCATGCAGAAGCTTGAAGAAATGTTAAAAACATTATGCAGCTATAAAAAAATGTTCTTTCTGGATACTTACCTGTTCTTATTTTCAAGCTCTGCAATCAGCTGTCTTTGTTGCTTGTTTGCATCAATGGTGAAAGAGATATCTGATGCACCCCTTTGCTGACCTTGCTGTTGCTGTAAAGGAGATTGGGACTGGCTGCATTATTAAAACAACACTTCATTTGTTTGCACCTAATGGTGTGGAGAGGCATTCACTAGTAGTGCTACAGGCTAAGTACAGACAGTCAAAAAAGCCCAAGGCTGAATCAGTTCAATCTTTGCAGGTTAGTTTAAGCTGTGTAGATTGAAGCGATAAGCAAGTGAACAGACATTCACTTTTGATTCCAGAAATGCAGCCACATGCCTGTGCCTGCTGTGGCCCAGGCCAGAAGTCAGGGGTGCACTGGAGCATACTTCCCTGCTCAGCTGGAGGCCAGCTTGGGCCACAGCTAGCCCAGCCACCCTGTGACGGTGGGGGAGGGCAGGTTTTGCAGGAGCGGTGCAAAGCCTCTTGAGATGCTGGGGGACTGAGTTAACTTGCCTCCGGAGGGGATCTGGGACAGAAGTGCAATAAAGTGATTTAACCTAAATCAGTTAAGTCTGATAGTACACTCATCCAGGTTTATCTTAAACAGGTTTCAACCATTTTGAAAGTAGTTTATGTGCGCTGAACTTCTCTTGTGTTACAAAGTTGAACTGGTTTCCAATCACTTATATTGGTTGATGTGTAGTTTCTGTCCCTAGCCACAAAGTTATAGCATTTTGAGGGCATAGAGGCATTCCAATCCCTGGGCTGGAGAACTACACTCACCTCAAAGGTGATCTCTCCAGCCAGGGGATGGATAGGGGGCTTTTTCTTGGGTTGCCCTGCCTCCAGGATTTCAATCACTGACAGCCTGCCTTCTCCCTTTCAATAAGCAGTTGTTGAAAAGCAGGAATAGCCAAAGGCAGCCCCACCCCACCCCTCTTGTGGTAGCAGGCATGAGAGAAACAGCTTTCCTCACCTTCGTCATCCCTCACAGTGCCAGACAACTGTGCATCTGCAGCAGGCATGACAGAGCTACCCTTGAGGGATTTGCCACCACCACTTTAAGAGCCAGGCAGCAGAAGACCACAGCAGGGCTCCCTGATAGCTTGCAGCTAAGCTAATCAGAGGACTGGCCAGTCTCCTCCTCTTCCTCCTTCTTGGAGTGGGGGGAGGGAGAGCAGAAGACTGTATGATGCTGAGGGTCCTAGGGACCTCTATAGCACTACAAGTAACTGTATAGGTGTTACTTGAAAGTGGTACAACACTAAGAAGTTCTTCTCCAAAAGAGGTACAATTTTGTAGTACTTTCATCATTTTTGTAGTGCTACTGTGGGTGCTGACAGACATGCAGCTCCTGCTGTAACTCATGGCACTTCACAGGAAGCGCCATGAGTTACAGCAAACTGCCCCCACCCAACTCAACTCCCCCTGCCTCCACCCCAAACTGTGCTGCCAGGTTCTTTAAAGAAGCCTTTAAAGAGTTCCCTGCTAAGCCAAGCTGGTCTTCTGGTAGTCTTCCTGTGCGTCAAGATGGTTTGTTCCTGCACTATCAGTAAGACTTCTTTAAAGTAGTCTATTCTGGGCAGTAAATCAGCTTCCCCACTTAAAATGTGTGC